TTGATGGTTTTTCCTTCAGATATATTCTTTTTTTTTAGTTGCCTTTTTCACCCTTTGTTGTTAAAGTCTTTAAACATTTCAGCAAGACTAGCATTCGGCTGGTACAACAATAAATCAAAAGGCTACTGGAGGCTGGCAAATAATTATCTCCTCAAGGAACATTGCCCTGGCTTGTGTATTTGTGTACTCGATGGTGTTTAGTACACAGGGCCATCTGAGCTCCCTACAGTGGAAGAAGTTGGCTATGTATATTTAAATACAATAGAATAGTTAAATGTGTGTGCAGTTCCTGGTTCAAATCCCACTTGCAACGAGAATCACTGAAACTATCTGGCTGAAAATATTTTTCTGAAAAGTTTGGAAAATCCAATTTAATTACACCTGTCCTTGGGTGCGTCGTGTGCAAGATCTGAAACGTTTCTAAAGTCGGCCCAGCCATTTAGACTTTAAATTTACCATTTTGATATCGTAAGAAGTGTCCCTCGTTTTGTACATGTGCATTTTGGAAGTGCAAATTAAGTCCCATTTGTATAAGTATAAATGGTTTGAATAATTCATGATAGATAACTCAGGTAATAAAAACTTTCTCATTACTTTAGGATAGAATTTCCCAATGTGAAAATTTTCAGATACAGTGGATTACAATCCCCATCTTTACCCAAATCTTATAAGAGATGGGGATTGGATTGCAATATAATTTCATGTCACCAGGATAGGAAAAGTATGATAGGCTCCTAATTTTGAAAAATCATGACCCATATTTCTCTACCTCAGAGTCACCCTATGCTGAATTCTCAGTGAGTTAAATGACTTACTACTCAGTGATCCAATTTGGGGATTAAAAAGAATTTATTTAATTCATCCAAACAGTGAATTTAATTGGGACTAGAAACTATAAAAGGGAAACACTCTCTCTGTGTGTCTTAAAATTAATTTTTAAAATGGTTGCTTTTTAACTACCCTGTTCTTGAAGAAAGACTAGAGAATTGTACAGAAAGAGGCTTCTACAGACCATCTATATTTATGGCTGGTTTTGTTTTTTGACCACCCTCTCACAATTATTTGGGATATAGAATCATAGATTTTCAATGTACTGCAGAGGTCAACCTTCTGCTAAGTTTGTTAATAAGCTGACTACATAACTAACAAAACCCAACTAATGTCTGAATATTACGATATATGTCAACCTGAAATGATCATGCTATATATTTTAGCACTACCATTTTGTATGTTTAAAAGGACATCTCTTTTAAAACTCTTTTTAATTCAGTAGTTAGAAACCAGGAGACTGTGACTCTAGCCCTCCCTTTGGCATTAAAGCTGGCTGGAGACTTTGGGCCACTAGGCACGCTCTTTCAGTCCAACTTTCCTCACAGGGAACAAGGAACAAGGCATATTAGATATGCTCACTGCCTTGAATCATTTGTAAACATAATAAAGGTGAGATTAAAAATAAGTAAGTGCTGCATCTACTAGCCTCGAGTTGTGAAGGACAACTCAACAAATTATGTGGCAGTCTGTTTCATTGGCTGAGAGCTTATGTAGTCAGGAAGTTTCCCCTGATGGAAGTTTCCCCTGATTTCCTTGAAATTTTAACTCATTGGCTCTAATATGGATTCTCAGAGGTAGTAGAGAATACATTCACTCTCTATTCTAGTGAAAACCTTTCAACTATTTGAAGACTGCTATTCTATTCCAAGTTAAGGGATTAGAGAGTCATAGAAGGGGAATTATTATAGTTATTTAGTTGTCCTTTCTATAGCCTAAACATACCTGGATTCTTTAACAATTCTTGATAGAGCATCATTTCTACATACTATCTTGGAAGTCCTCCTCTGAATTGTCGAGATCTTGAATTTTGAACTGTGATGACCAGAAATGGAAATCAGTCTGTCCTTAGGGTGACACATTATAACATATTAGGAAGTTACTATGCATTAGATATTTTAACCTTGTGTTTTGATACTCAGAGTCTGTAGATCTTGGATTGCATGAAAGCCTGTGGATAGACAGATGGATAGATAGGCAGGAGGATAAAATGCATTATTTTAGAATTTTCTACCTGCTTGTGTATTTTACAACACCAGAGTTTCTGAATTATATTACCTTGGCATGTCTTTGAAGCATTTTTTCATACAGCAGTGATCTTTTATAAAACCATTACTATTTATTTGCTGAGCAGTCAGCGTTCCACATTTTAAGAACTGCATCACATTTTGAAATGACCATCTCCTATAAAATTGAAGATAAAAGGGGAAAAGATCAACAGAAAGCAAATTAAGTGCTGTTCAGATGGACAAACTAACTTCTTTGATTAGAGAAAGGAGAAGGTTTACTTTTATCGCTTGCTGGCAAAACCTGACAGACTTTTTGCATAAAAATGAACAAAATGAACTTTGAGTTATGGATTTGATGATTAAACAGGATAAATTTTAGAAAGAAGAGAGTCATGATGTAACTTTAGAGTCAGAGGTTAAAATATAATTGAAATTATAACTGCTGTGAAGACTATAAGAATCTGCTTCTTTGTATCTTTCTCTTTTTGTCTACTACTTTTTTTCTTATTGCACTTTTAGATTTTTCTTTTATTTCTTTTATTTTTTCTTTCATTTTCTCCCTTCTGCTTTAGTTTGTATTAGTACTTATTATTGCTGTAAAAACTTTTAATATATATTGTAATGCATTTAAGTCCATACAGTGTTGTCAAGGCTGAGAAACACTGGACTAGAGAATGCCTGACTTGTGAAGACCATTCGAAACTTATATGAAATGGATCCAAATCTAGCATTGCCTATTTGTTGGCAAGCATTCCCTTTCTTTTCCTTTCACTTTGTATAGCTATATAAATAACGGAGGGAGGGAGGGAAGGAAGGAAGGAAGGAAGGAATTATATTTCAGTCAGGGAACCTTAGTCTATGTATCATCAGAGGTGGTATTCAGCAGGTTCTGACCAGTTCTGGTAGCGGAAATTTTGAGTAATTCAGCAAATACCACCTCTGACTGGAGATTTTACAGTATCTTTCCCCTACCATGCCCACCAAGCCATGCCCACAGAACCGGTAGTTTAAAAAAAATTGAATCCCACCACTGTGTATCATGGTGGTTACCGGGTTGGAGTTACAGTAAGGAAGCTCAGGTTCAAGTCCTTATTCAACTATGGAATTCATTGTGTAACAATTGTTGTTTTCTTTTACCTCAGCCTATCCACAGGGCTTCTGTGCTGATAAAACTAGGAAAAATCTCCACATGCTACCTGGATGTCTCAATAGAAAGGTGTATAAATGCCGTAATAAAACCAAGTAAAAGCTCCCAGTACTACCGTGTTTCTCTACTACCAGTACGACAAAGCCTCCCCTGCCCGAGAGGGCAGCCCAACCCCACGTGGGGAGGCGAATCTCCCGGGGACGCAGTGCAGGATAGGCCCACCCTGGGAGAACCGTCCAGCCACCATCCCTGCCTGACGCCGGGCAGAGCATGAAGAACTTCGCCTGGGGTGCCCAGCGCAGCTGACAGGCAGGCCCTCCTGACTGGCAGTGGAGCTCTCGCCAAGGCAGCGAGTGCCTCCCTGGCAGGCCCTCCACTCATCCCTCCAGGGCCGTGCCAGAGCCGTGCGGGCTGGGCAGAGCCGGGAAAGCGAGCCACGGGTGCGCGTCCGCCTGCCAAGCGAAAGAGCCGGGCTGACCTGAGCTTGGCTTCCTTCCCAAGTCCCTCCAGCCCAAACCCGAAGGGGCCACCAGGAGAGGCTGCCCAAGGCAGTGATAGCACCCAGCCGTCCGCGGACAGGGAGGCAAGGCGACAGCAGCGCTGCTTCCCTGGCTGGCGGGTCCGGCAGAGAGACCCCGAAGCTGCCCATCCTTTTCACCCCTCACCCAGCCCGTCCCCGTCCCCATGCATCTCCAAATGTGCTGGCAGCTCCAAATGCTGCGTTGGGACAGGCATCAGGCAGAGGCAATGACTCAGTGGGGCTCATCTCAGAGGAGGACGCGGCGCAGGCCGTCGCCTTGCCTCCCGGTCCACGGATGGGTAGGCGCTATCACTGCCTCAGGTGGCCTCTCCCAGTGGCCCCTTCGGGTTTGGGCTGGAGGGACTTGGGAAGGAAGCCAAGCTCGGGTCAGCCCAGCTCTTTCGCTTGGCAGGTGGACACGCACCCGTGGCTCGCTTTCCCAGCTCTGCCCAGCCCGCACGGCTCTGGCGGGGCCCTGGCGGGATGAGCGGAGGACCTGGCGGGGAGGCACTTGCTGCCTTGGTGAGAGCTCCGCTGCCGGGCAAGAGGGACCGCCTGTCACTGCACTGGGTGCCTCAGGTGAAGCTCCTCACGCTCTGCACGGCGCCTGGCAGGGATAGCGGCTGGGCGCTTCTCCCGGGGTGGGACGATCCTGTGCTGCGGCCCTGGGAGATTCGCCTCCCCACGTGGGGTTGGGCTGCCCTCTCAGGCAGGGGAGGCTTTGTCGTACTGGTAGTAGGGCATCGTTTTTAAAAAAATTGGCTTTGCCTTCGAAGGCAAAGGGAAGGTGGCGACAGGAGCGCCTGAAGCCGAGTGTCTCTGCCGGGCTCTGGTTGCAAGGAGGAGCCCTGGCTGGCCACGCATTGCTGTGCCAAACACCATGGCATTGTTGTAAATGCCACAGCAGCACAGGGAGAAGGGAAAGCAACAGTGGCAGAAGGTCTCCCGATAGGAAGTACCCCACCAACGCCGAAGTTAATGCAGGCAGCACCATATCCGGGTATGCAACAAAAGTACTTCCTAACGGCAAGCCCCCCTGCCATTCCCCCCCCATTTCACATGTTTAATATAGGCCTTAATTTGGGGGGGGAGGGGCTTGATTTGATTTTATCTGTATAAAACATGCTGGGACTTCCTATTGGGGGAGGCCGTATTGTTGGAGAAACACGGTACTGGTACTAAAAATTATTCCAATAATCCACGCTTCACACTGTATTTGGCATACCCAGGGAATACTTTCATATTAATTAATCATTCTTTTTTTTTTTCCTATTAGGAAAGAGAGAATTCTCCTCAGGAGAGCCCAGGAGAGAAAAACCGCACCCTGACTGGGAGAGAACGGTCAGAGTACATGCAATGGAAGAAAGAACGGGATCAGATAGATTTTGAGAGGCTCACCCGCCACAAGAATGCAAGGGGTGAATGGCGACGGGCTTGGGATGTAGAGAAAACCAAGGGCATGTAAGTTATCTTCATGTTATCTCCCTTCCTGATATAGATCCTGGAGATCTGAGGGGACACCTATCTCCAATTGTTTCTGCCCGTCTAGAATATTCTGGCAAAGTGAGTGTGCTCCAGATCTCCTCTATTAAGTGTTGTCATTTTATAGGACCATGCCTTCTCTGTCATGGCACCCGTCGTCTGGAACTTTATACCCAGAGAGAGGGGCTGGGCCCATTTTCTTGGGTTCCAAAAAGTTCTGTTTGGTTGGATTTATTATGGTTTGATTGTTTTAGTACAAGCTGGTATATAGATTAGATGGCAAACTAGAAATCATAACAGTAAGGGTGTTTCCTAACCAATTATTACCTGTGGAGACTAAATAAAATTCATTGGAATAGTTCAGAACAGTCTGAACAGAACACTGTATTATGAAATCTGTTATAATTCAGATCATCACAGTCTTATAATGTCGTTGCCATAGATGGCTTTGAAATACTTAGAAAAGATCAATCTGTCAAAGTTCATGAATTATATTTTTAATTTGCAGGTTTGAGAATATAAGGGATGGGAAACCAATTTTGGACTGCCCCCAGAATAAAAAAGGTTAGCAAAACGACTTGAGTTGAGTACTGATTTAAGTATATTGAAATCATGAACATTTCACTCCTTGAATATCTTCTTTGTTTGCTCTCTAATCTTTGGCTACCGCTTATGTGTTCTGATTCTACTTCTTTTTTTTTAAAGTCCCATTTTATGTGATGAGTCATATGTTTAACATTTTTGTTACAACTCACAAAAATGTCCAAAATAAAAGGTAGAAGGCAATGAAGGGATGTGTAGTTCCTTGCCTCAATTCCTAATGCAGTCTTACGTGGTTCTAAATATAATATATATATATAATAAATATAAGAGAAAATTCAATTTTAAATTAGAGTTTATTACAGCTGAAAGACCCAATTAACCTTAATTTTGGAATTTAGTAATGTATCCAGTGTTTCAGAAAAGAAAGTAACATCAGATGGAATCTTACATTTGCATGTTGTCTTAGAATACAAAAACCCTGATTTCCAAAGAGATACTTCAGTTATGTATCTTGGTTGCTAGCATAAATCAGCCTGTTTTCAGTGTAGAATTTAGCTGCTATTAAAAGTGGTTACTTTGACAGAGAAGATTTGAAGACGTAGTTTATAGAGCTTATACTGAATACTAAATGTGGTATCTAAAAGTTAAAGTACATATTCTAATTCATAAAAGAAAAGATACTCCTTCGGAAAAATTGAAGGTTTTTTACCCTGTACGTAGGCATATTGTACTGTCAAGCAAAAATATTTCCTTTTTTATTCGCTATTATTGCTGTTCTTTCTCACCTTGCGCAAGTATACAAATTTTTATATTTGTCATGTTTTTTGTGCTTTCAAGGGGGAAAAGGTGTCAGGAAATCCCAGCTACGAGATCTACCTTCTGATGGGAAAGGTGAGTAGATCCAAGAAGCAAGTCGGAGTCCTGTTCAGAGATACTACCAAAGGTGGCTGCTTTTCACAGGCTACTTATCTTGAAAAAAAAAAAAAAGAGGGGGGGTGTCTTGAAAAAGAATTGAAAAAGAAATAAAAGAATTATATAACAGAGGACACTTTATACTAAGACCATTATTCAATCCCCAGATGATTCCAGGAAAAACCATCAACTGCTACTTGTATAAAAGTCAGTAGATCTGTGATTGCTTTTCTCTTCCGATGCTATAATACAACTGCCATTGTGGCTTTGTTTATGGCACTTTGACTTCATCATTATTGGAGGATATTTGTGCAACTGCTATAAAAAAGAGTGATTTTTTTTTCTTTCCCAGAAAGATTTATCACTCCTATATAGACTCTCTTTTCTTGCTATGAAGGCATAACTGGGGAAAAGGCTGACAAACAACAGATAAGGAATGTAGGATTTGTAATGGTAGAGCAGATGCTACCATCAGAAAGGTAGATAAGGATTAGAGTTAATTAGTTTGCTTGTTTATCTCTCTCTCTCTCTCTCTCTCTCTCTCTCTCATTTCTCATCTCTCCTATATACCACTGCACTGCAAAACTGAAATCATTTACAAAATATAACACAAATACACAAAAA